ACCCAAACGTAAATCCGACTTGCTGGAAGTGTAAAAAAGCACAGGGAACTTTTTATCATGCTTGGTGGCTATGCTCAGAAATTAAAAAATATTGGAACAAGATTAAAATATGGATAGCAGAAATAACAGATTGTGAAATTGAATTAGAACCCGAGATCTTTCTATTAGGTATGATTAAAAAGAACATTAGGAATGATACAAAATACTTAATACTTCACATAATAATGGCGGCCAGACTAGCAGTAGCACAACTTTGGAAAAGAAATAGATTGCCAACTGATCAGGAGTTAATAAAAAAGATATACACATGTGTAGAAATGGACAAATTAACTTTAGAGTTACAAGATAAGGAGGACTCAAAATACTTTAGAATATGGAATAGATGGTACCAGTGGATAAATCAAAGGAGGCCAAATGGGTTGAGATGAAAATTAGATGAAATTATTATAAGTAAAATGCACTGTCAGATAGATAGAAAATGAAATATGTCACTGTAGGTTTGTATATCTGTATATATATAATTAGTTAGTAGTTGAAGTTGATTACTGTATATGTATATGCAAATTTGTTTCTTGATAAGTTAATTTTTAACTTAATCAAGTCTTTGTATGTTTTAAATGTTTTTAAGAATGAATAAAGTTTTGCTTTTTAAAATAAAAAAAAAAAGAATATGGGAAGTCCACAAGTTGGGCCTCTTGCTTATATTCTAACATGTGAAATTAAGGATACTGTACAATCGTTTGCACATCCTATCCTGTCTTTCCTTTGGATATGTGGAGCAACTTTCTCCAAACTGTTGGTCATTGTATTATTCTTCAGATTTGCTGACTTGAGTTTACTTACAACCTTTGCATATTCTTTTGTTGCTTGTGCTATTCTTTCAGTTATTCCATCAATTTCTTCTGACTTGGAATGACTAGAACAGTGATCTAACTTTGTGTTCTAGTACCAATGGTTCTTATATATAGGGAATAATTTCTATGATATCTTGTATGTTGATATCTCTATTGTACAGAATTGGCATTTGCTCATTCCATCTGTTCTGACTTCAGAATCAAAGAAGATTAAATATCTCTGTATTGTAGGTATTGTAGGAGTGACCCATATTAGTCCATCTTGGATATAGCTCACAAAAATCTATGTCTTTTAATAGCATTTGTTAGAATGCAGTACGGCAAGCTACTTCTGCTGACTGCCAGCTGCCCAGAAGTTTGGCAGTTCGAATCTCACTGGCTCAAGGTTGACTCAGCCTTCCATCCTTACAAAGTTGATAAAATTTGGACCCAGCTTGTTGGGGGCAATATGCTGACTCCGTAAACCACTTAGAGAGGGCTGTAAAGCACTGTGAAGTGGTATATAAGTGGTGAAGTGCTATTGCTACTACCAAATTCCTTCTGATTATCTGTCCACAGGCAATGTTTAACATACTAATTCAAGGTTGGAACCTGCTTCTCACTTAGGAAATCTGTTGGAAAATATTCCTTATTTTGCCATGTGTGTTTTTGCCATGTGTTTCCATATTCAGTGTCTTTATAGATGTCATTGTAACATTGTTTCTTGACTCTTCTAACAGTTCTCTGAAATTCTTTACCTTCCTTTTTGAGATCTTTGTCTTCTCTTCTTGCAGTTTTGAGTCTTTGTTCTGCAATCCTACTTGTTTTTGTCTCTTAGTTTTTAGCAACCTCTTTTCACATTCATCCTTAACAGCTTCTCTGATCCCATTTCAGAATTCCTCTCATTCCCTATCAATGAGGTTTAGAACTTCAAAGTGATTCTTGATGTTCTTGAAAATAGTGGTATATAGAGGTCGGGTTTTTTCCTTCCGCTTTGGCTTAACTTGAAACTTGCACAGGAGCAGTTCATAATATGTTCCCCAGTTGGGCCCTGTCTTTTCTATTATCAGAGCTCTTCTACCACCTTATACCTTGCAATTTACATCACTTTCTGTGGTGTCACTACTGTCAGCCTCCCAGGTAAACCAGGCAGGAAACATAACTAGATGAAATTCTACTTTATTGTAAGGTTACATGAACAGATTATTGCAAATCTGAAAGTATAAACTTGCCACCACCAGTTTTAACTGCTTGATCCATTAGGGTGGGTCCTTGCAAGTGGCTGTTGAGCCACTGAGAGCTCCTGCCTGTCATGTCTGATTGTTTACTAGACAGTATTTCTTCCTCTTGTCCCATAAACTCATGCACACATTCCATTTATTTATTTATTTTATTTTATTTTAATTTGATTTATATGCCGCCCTTCTCCGAAGACTCAGGGCGGCTTACAATGTGCTCAGCAATAGCCTTCATCCTTTTGTATATTTATACAAAGTCAGCTTATTGCCCCCACAAACTGGGTCCTCAATTTACCTACCTTAGAAAGGATGGAAGGCTGAGTCAACCTTGAGCCTGGTGAGATTTGAACTTGCAGTAATTGCAGGCAGCTGGTCTTAATAACCAGCTTAATAACAGGGTGCCTTAAACCCCTGTACTACCAAGGCTCTTTATACTATTATTATACTATTATACTATTATATACTATTCATATTATACTATTATACTATTATATACTATTCATATTATACTATTATACTATTCATATTATACTATTATACTACAGTGATCATCTTCCTATATAGCTGCTAACCAGCTTAATAACAGGGTGCCTTAAACCCCTGTACTACCAAGGCTCTTTATACTATTATTATACTATTATACTATACTATTATACTATTAATATTATACTATTATACTACAGTGATCATCTTCCTATATAGCTGCTACTCAATATACTACCTACTTGTTTTAATTGGGCGGTTGGGATAAGATTCATGCTTTATATGACCCTGGTGGGATTATATACTCTTGGCATAGACTCCTGACTTTTCATCAGTCATCCCTCTCGGGAACACCTCCTCCTCACCTGAGAATGAGGCAGCCAGCTGTACGTGATAGAGTTACGACTTGCATCTACTTGTAAATTTACAGTAGATAAATTTACAGTACAGCTACACAATCTTTTGGAATATTGGATAAAGGTATAATTTAGCTCAATTTTAATTACATTTAAATTGCTGTGCTTGGTAGAAAAGCAAAAACCCTCAGCAGCTGACCTTAGGCTACCCAGCTTGTCCTTTAGATAGATTCCTCATCTGTTCTGACTGCTTTCAGTTGGCTGAAGCAATAGAAAATGAAGTCAAACCTATAAGTACTCTAATATAGATTCTCGTGTCATAAAACACTTTCCCCTTTGTTAAAAAATCTATAGTAAGTCACTATTACAGGTCATCAATTGGTCTGGGTAAGGTATCATCAATATGTTGATTTTTCTCAATTTTACAATGATCTCCTGCCCAAATTAGAGACGGTATGGAAAGTGTTAAATCAGGTGAATGAGGAGACAGAAGCTAGGTCTTCAGTAACAACAGCTCTTTAATTCACGGTGTGACTCCAGCAAAAGCTACAGTGGAACAGCTCCCTTTATATACATATCCTGGCTAGGGAATTAGCCAATCACCAACGTGCAATTACCCTTTAAACTTCCCACCGAAACTTGATACATTACAGAAAGGTTTGGTTGCCTCTACTAGAGGCACCCTGGAAACAATGCATTAACTTGCGTATGGTCTCCTGTAGGTTGTACTGCATCAGGGGTGAAATCCAGCAGGTTCAAGTAGCGGAAATTTTGAGTAGTTCCGAGAACTGGTAGCAGAAATTTTGAGTAGTTCGGAGAAGTAGCAAATACCACCTCTGGCTGGTCCCAGAGTGGGGTGGGAATGGAAATTCTGCAATATCTTTCCCCCAGGAGTGGGGAGGGAATGGGGATTTTGCAGTATCCTTCCCCTGGAGTGGGGTGGAAATGGAGATTTTGCAGTATTCTTCCTCTGCCACGCCCACAGAACCGGTAGTAAAAAAATTTGAATTTCACCACTGATCTGCACCCTCTTTTTGTGCAAGTAGGATCCCATGCTTATGAGCTCCATATAGGAAATATCCAAGGGATGTGGACTCCTACACAATCCTTCTCTATACTGGCCTCCTTGTTATAGAAGTCTTTAACTCTAAAATGGGCATTAGGCTTTCACATTGTTTTCCATAAAATGGTTTGTTTCATGTAGGTATATGGTAATTGGTTTTTGTGTGTCAGTGTTTGCCTTTTGAGTCAGTTGCCTGGACTACTCAGTTTTCTTGGCAGCATTTTGGGAAGAGGATTATCTTTTCCTTCTTCTTAAATCTGAGAGAGAAAGAGCCTTTGTGCCTAAGGCAGAAATCACAGGCTTCTGGTTTGTAACTTTGTGTCTTAACCGCTATACCAAACTCGTTCTTGATTGACTCTTACAATATTATTTTATGATTATATGGTGTTCAAGCTGCCATACACACATGTATACATACACACTCATATTTAAAGGCTGGAGCCTTGAACGATGGGTGTTATATAATTTATATAAATAATTAAATTTCAAATGTAGCTTCCATGATATTTAGTACAGCTATAACAATGAGGTGGTAAAATAAGAATCACTGTAAAATTTAGTAATTTTGGCCTTGAATTTTATTAGAACTAAACAAATGTCACTGAAGTGAACATAATTTTGGAAGAAAATGTCTCCAACTCTTGTTTTGCACCTTTACATAATATAAGCTCTACTAGTTCACTGAAGTGCATTCCCAAGTAATTGCTGTCAGATTCTGCACAAGTACACAGACTTTGTTATGTGAAAAAGAGTTCCAATTTTAATTAGTAAATCAGCCAAATCTGTTTGTCATAACAAAGAACTCTGTTGAAGAACAAAATGGAATACTTCCTTGGTGCCTTTTAAGTTCTAGTGCTAGATACAGTCTTTATAAGCATCCCAGATTCAGAAAATAAATAAATAAATAAAAATCAGTGTTCTTTCTCCCCTCGTCCTTAGTAATGGTTGGAACTAACAAAACTATTGATCAATTTCTGTGGACCAAATTCATCATTAACGCTATAGAGAAAAAAATCAATAGTACAAATGCATCTAAAAATCAGTTTTATTAAGGTAATTGGACAGGTTTTAACAATACCATCCAGCTGAAAAATTAACAGTTGAGCCCTTTTATCACCCTTAATTTAATCACAGACACTTTTTTTCTGAATAAAACATTGTACAGGATATTCCTTATTGCTCCTACTTAAAGGAAAATAGTACTAGGGTGTTAGATTTTAAAATGCACAATTAAAATTCCAACAAATTATTATATGCATGATAAAAAGAATTCTGTTTGCATCATAAAGTATACACTAGATAGGAATGTTAACACAGAGTAGAGTTTGACAAGTTATATACAACTAGTTTAAGTAATGCACATTCATTCTGAAGGCCTGCTAAATACAATGTCTCTGTGCATAGTCTCAGAAGTAGAATTAATCAGAGGCATTCTGCCCTTCCTCCCATGCTCTTATTTGTTGGTTGTCTGCAAGAATCTTCTATATTCTGCACTTTAGTGTTTTATGTATGAAAGAGAGAAAGAAATCATAGCTAAAAAGCTGCTTTTCATACAGGACAGCTATGTAGTCCTGCATAAAGATACAGCTTGATACTGGCATTAGCCACATAATTCTTCTGCTCTTGCCCAAACAATTTCTAACAAAATAAAAGAATATATAATTCGGTACATTTTGTGCTTCTCAGTTGTTTTCTTGAGAAACTGCTGAAGTCTAGAGAAAGAGATAAATGGAGAGTTTTCAGTTATTTTAAATAAAGCAGATGTCACTGTGGCAAGAAATTCTAAAGAACTGCTATGATTGAAAAATGTAACATCAGGTACTACCGGTATTATGTTTTCCAATAATTTTTCTGAGGTATCAAGGAGATTTGCCCATTTCATATAAGGGGAAAGAATGGAATTGATTTGTGAAATACCTAAAAATTAATATAATTACCATAATTTATTAGTGTTAAACTACTATCAATAATAATGGTTAATAATCAATAACTGATTTTATTGATTCTTTTTTAGCTGAGACACTTCTCAAAGGCTATCCTGCAGACCAGTGTTTTTAACACTGAAGGCAGAGAACTGCATAATTCAATTTTCTTCAAATGTCTGCCCTGAAAGAACCACAACATCAGAATAAAGACTTTAGCCTGCTCTGGTTCCCCAAGTCTCAATATTTTGTTCTTTTTTCCAAGAGAACCCTCCCTCTTTTTAGTCTCCTTTAAAAAAAAATACAATATGAAATATTAAAATAAAGATGTGCCATCCTCAAGGTGTACAACATCTTGTATTTGGAGGTTATTTTTTTAGTAATGAAAATTTCAGGACCGAAACTTTTATAATAAACCTAGTGTGTATTGTTTTTCTCTTCAATAATCCTGAAGCTTTGTTCAGGCATAAAATTATCATGTTTTTAATATCCTTGTCTAAGCATCATTATGTAAGAGTCAAGCTCGTTTCCTGGGTGCTTCCTCATTGCTTCTATCAGCTCACCACAAATGTGTCAAGACACAAGTAGTTATACTTACATATGGAGTCCTTTCTCCAAACTGACTATAGAACGTCATTTTAACTTTTTGCTTGTGTCCAGTTCTTTGATCAAAGGTCTGGCAGATTTCAAAAGGTGGACTGTACAAGTGGAGACTAACAGCTGTTTCGGTATGGCTTGGGTTCTCCACACGATGCAAACCAATGGAGTCTACAAAGAATAACAAATCAATGCAGCGCATAGTTAGATTGGGCAGATCCAAGTTTTCAATCCCACCCCTCCATGAACTCTACTAGGTCAGCGGTCCCCAACCTTTTGGGCACCAGGGACTGGTCCTGTGGAGAGAGGTTTTTCCGTGGACTGGACGAGGTGTGGTTTCACCTGCTGCCGGCATCCCGCAGATGGGGCTTCGCTTGTTTGCGCAGCCTGGTTTCTGGCATGCTGCGGCCCGGTGCCAGTTCATGGACCAGGGGTTGGGGACCCCTGCACTAGATGAGTTTCACCAGCTGCTTTATTAACATGCTATATTTAAATGGTACTTTCAAAGGCCTAGCATGCATATCCAGGAACCCAGTTTATTTCTTAATCAGCATTGGACTCTCAGTAAAGTATTCTGGAGTAACTGAAGTTTATATTTCTGAATCATGCTGTGACATGCAAATCTAGAAAGACAGTGCTCCTTTTTGGCCACAGGCCATAGACCAACTCCACAAAAGGGTACTTTAAGACTGCATCCCGGTTTGTTAAAATTGAAGACAAAATGGTGAAAGAGCAATGAAGGGCTTCCTAAGCCTGTTTCCAATGATTTCAATCTTAAAAAGGATATTATGGGTTTTAAAGATTTTTCTAAAAACAAAAAACAAACCAGATAGACAGACAAAGAACCACACAAAGCACTGGGAGACGTGGTTGGATTACAAGCCAACATGGCTCCTCTGCATTTTATTGGGCAGCTGCCATTTTTATTTGTTGCCTGTTACTGGACTGTTTGGTAGATCATTTTTTCAGGAGCTGGAGATTTGCATTGAGAGAAAATTGTAGAAACAGAAGTTACTCTCATTATATAAAACTGCAATTTGAATGGGAAGAAATCCCAGAAAAGAAAAAACTATGTATTAAAGTCTTTTATAGCGCTCACATGCAACGTTTAACCAGGTCAACAGCAATCCCAGCTGGCTGTATGAATCAAGATATTCAGATTAGGAAGGAACCTGTTATAATCAACTTGTATTCAAATATACATATCGATTAGCTACTTACTGTCGCAGTGCAAACATGATAAAATGAATATCCAGAGTGAGCAAACACATACATAAAATAAAGTGCAATAAATATCCAATAAATATTTAGCATCTTTTTATAACTAAAAGTTATAAAAATATGATAAAATTATCAGTTTTTTCAGGGGAAGGGAATGTGTATTTGTGGGTGGAGAATCTAAACTATTAGTGTTTGACTGAAGGTAGCAGCAGAGAACTTCACTATCTTTTTCAAGGTTTTCATAGACCTGTGCATCAGAAGAAATTACATTTTCTTTTCCTCTGACTGCCAGAATAGCAGCACGGGGACTATTTAATTTGGACACTAAACTATGTAGCACAATAATGCAAATATAGCTGTCTCAATGTCACCCAGCTGGCAGAAATATATTTGGTGCTGAACTGGAATGTGGTTATGGCTTCCTCCTTTAGACATTGCACATGGTGCTGGCATCTTCTAAATCACAATACCTATTATTTGTATGTAGTACTACCAGGATATACTTCCTGTTACCTACAGACTGATGAAGTGGAGGAGAGGAGAAGACCCGAGAAATTACAAAGCATGTCATGTCTAGCTTCATGGACTAACTGATATAAAGGAGTTTAAGCAATGATATATAGCTGAAATGCCAGATATTGAGAAGGTTTCATCAACCTGGGTTTCACTGGCATCTGGAGTTGGAAGAGAAGATTATCTACTCATTAAGCTTAACCTCTTCTTCTGAATTCCAACACAAAGCCAGGAAGATAAAATAGCCAGGAAAAACAGGATAGGTTAGGTTAGGCACCCATTTTTCCTCCACTTGGAGAAAAAGAAGATACTAAATGCTATTATATCTCTACAGATATGGAATCACACAATTTTCTTTTTGTTATTTCAAACAAACGGAGGGACAGGTACCCAGGAGGCATTAGCCACAAAGGTACCTAATACCAAAAATAGCTTCTAATTTAGTCAGGAATGGTTTGGGTTTCTTTATTATTCAAGGACATGGCCATATAGAACAAGCTTTTCTAAGCTTAAAAGCAGATAATGTGTATGTTCTAACATCTAAGTTTGTAATTTGGGTGATCATATAGCGGAAAGATGATATGAAGAGAAAAATCTTTTTTAAAAATGGGGCAGCAGCTAAGGAAGTTTTGATAGCCAGGCATAGATAAGATGACAACTTAGGAGAAAGGAAAAACACTGTGACAAACAATAAATAAACTGAAGACAATTCTCAGGAATGTAATGGAAAATTATGTGGTTTGAAGATAAGGAAATCTTAGCAGCAGCAATGTAAATGACAGCTTGTTAAAAATATTTGGGTAGTTATTATGAAACATGAAGATAATCTCTGGGATCAGACTACTGATTTTTTTAAAAGTATTTTTATCCCACCTTTATTATCTTTACAAATAATTCAAGGTGGCAAACATACCTAATACTTCTTCCTTACCCTATTTTTCCCACAACAACAATCCTGTGAGGTGAGTTGGGCTGAGAGAGAATGACTGGCCCAAAGTCACCCAGCCTGTTTTTCATGCCTAAGGTCAAATAAGAATTTACGGTCTTCTGCTTTCTAGCTGAAATCCCCGCTATCAAAATTATAGTATATAGAATCCCACATTTTAGTTATTATGTGTACAGTAAGTAAAAATAAAACAGATTAGAAAGAGAAATTTGATGGAAAAATTCCCTTGTGTTAGGAAAGGAAATTGAGTCAGTATTTTAAATTAAGGACTGATTGGTGTATGTTCAATCTTTGTTCTTCCTATCTATTCTCTCTACCTTGCCTTCAAGGTTAGAAAAATATTCAAGCATTGGTGTATCAACATGATCTGAACATATTTTCTTCTCTCTGTTTTGTTTTGTTGTCAATAAAGTTATTTTCTAAAAAACATTTCAATTTTGTCTCCAATGAAATCACCTTATTACCATATCCAGTAATATGCTATCCAGGGTAAAAACTGTAATTTTTGAGATTTCTTTTCCCCAGGTAAAATACTATGATAGCAAATTTTGCAAAATGAAGGGGGCTTTTTTAAAGGACAAAGTAGGAATTGACAGGGGATGCCTCTATCATAAAACTGTGACAATACTGGGATTCCTGCAATTTTCCCATTTTTAAAAAATTTATAACAGTGTGATTGGCAGCATATGGGAGGTTCAAGCAGTATCACCTGTTCTACTCCCCTGTCCTTGAGAATTAGAGAACAGAGCTGAATCATAATAAATACTTCTAGACAAATATGCCAATGGAAAAGAGAAGGTGAGATGAATGTGTGATAAATGAATGATGGGCACAAGGGCAACCAATGTTCCTTGCACCAAGCAATAGTTTTGATGGCAACTGGGATATCAATAAGATCTTTTTGAATTACAAAGTTACTAGTAGATGCCCAGCCATGTCAAAGTCTAAGATTGGTCCCTGTTGGATGTAAACTGCCTAAATTGTAAGGGGAAAATTAAATAAGCTTCCCAGAATCTATTGAAGGATATGGAATAAAAATCATGCTTGCATCTATCTATGTATATATAAATAAATAAACAAGCAAGCAAAACAAACAAACAAGTCTTTTACTGAAGCAGGAAAATAAGGCCACTTCCCCAAAATCATAAAAGGACCTTTTCATGACTTTTAACATACCATAAAAAATTAAACTTTTATGGTAATCATTATTGGGGAAAGAATTGTTAAATTTAAAGACACCAGAGCAAAACGACTTACCATTAATGTAGGCACACTGATTTCTTTTTAACACTCTTTCTGATTTTTTAAGCATCTCTCCAATCCCTTTTTTGCCAGGCCATTCAAACAAAGTTTCCTTTAGGTTTCCTTGAAGTAGCTTCATAAAACAATGTGAATCTGTGTGATCATGGATACTGCTACAAAAGCAATTTCAAAAAATGCATAAAGTCAGAAAGGTTGATGCCTGTAAGGTATATAATATACATATGTACTAGATCAGCTTTCCATAACTTGGCATCTTCCAAAGAGTTAAAATGCAACTTCCAGAATTCCCAGACAGCATATTGGTAATAAACAAAAATGATTAATTGCTATTTTGCACGGCACAACATGCCCTACAAATTCAATTATCATGAATATAATGTCCTATTCCAGTTAGGTAACAGCAATAAACCACCATCTTTGGCTGATCTGGAAAAGGTAAGCAAGGGTTGGACCTGCTTAGTATTTGGATTGTTGATTGTCAGGAAATTCCACAACTGTAAGTTTGATTGAAAAGTTTGGGGTGGAGTGGGGGGAGTACCTTGGAGGAAGGCAAATGGTAAATCAGTTCTACATTGTTGGCAAGGTAGAACAAATACAAATACAGACACATCCCTGAAGTAACTAGGGGTTGAGTTCTGTGTGAAAGAGTCTACTCTTTACAATGCTCTAAGGGAGCCAATTTTAAATATCCAGGTGTTGCTCTTAATCCCAGCGTCTGAGTTAAATGATCCATGGTGAAGGTATGGGGAATTGTAGTTCAGCAAAAGTGGACAGTTCAGGTACACATATTTTGCACTTTTTTGTACAAACATTTACCTGGACTGAATCAAAGTAAGTATTGTAGCCAGCAATTCTACCCATGCATTAAGAAGGAGAACTTTAAAGGAAAGATTAGCCCGGCTAGCCCAAAACTAGAAATAACACAATCTTTACTTTTTTTTTCTTGAAACTGTACACTGATCTTTCAATTGTAATCTCAGTCTGCAATTATTTCTTACACACAGGCAAACTTCCTAACGTGCTTTAAAATCCACCATTATTAATGCTATATTTCTCGGTGTTTGACTTCAGGATTCAAGTTGTTAACAAACATATCAACCAAGTTTATTGCAGATGCTCAATATGGAAAATAGTACTTATAAAATATGTTTGCACATCTTTTTTATTAAAAACCAATTTGGCACTATTTGTTTTTTCTGTCTCTGTTTTGCAGTAGAAAATAAATGCCACGTTGTTATATTGAGCAACACATTTAGAGAAAAAAAAGTAAAGTATCTAGGTTATAAAACACACATATTTCAAAGAGTCTGGAAATGTTAATTAGGAAAGAAATAGAACTAAGACAGGCAATATTTAGGTTTGGAAACAGTGTTAAACTATGTAGAAACAACTCTTAACCATAGATATACTATTACAGACCTTATTGCCCTACTACTTAAATGCTTTTGACTACAAGCAGAACTGCAAATTTACTAGACACTACTGCAGCTTCCCGGCAGAGCTTCATGCTAATTAATCGTTCTAAGTGCCCAAATACTTGTAATCCCTCAATTTTGGTCATGAATGTGATAGGTAAAATTGTGAATATGGTTATACTTGCTGTGTACATTATCCATATCAGGGATGGTATTCACTTAACTTCGCTACCAGTTCGCAAATGTGAGTGTGCGCGCTCGCAACGCTCGCACACGCCTACTCCATGCATGCGCAGAGCCTTCTGTGCATGCGCAGAGGGTCAAAATAGGACGTGATGATGTCCAGGCGGGTGGGCGGAGCCTCCCGCTGTCGGCGCTACCAGATCGCACAATCTGGATAGAACCGGCTGAATTTCATCACTGATCCATATCCATGAAATAGTTTCCTTCACATCCAGAATAGAAGAGGGATCACCTGGTGTCCTACTTTCCATCTCTGGAATAGAAATAAAGCTACAATAGCCTAAGGCCACTTAGGTTGAGACTTTTCCATGCTAATTCCCCAGAATACTGTTTGCAGTAGAAAGTTCTATGCCTTTTGATAAACTGTAGAGACAAAGTAAATTTTGCTTGTGGTTTGTGTCTCCCTCCCTATTTTGCCAGCTTTTATTACAGTCTTGCTAGTTTACTGTTTCAATGTTTGCTGAACTGACTGATGTGTGTGCTTGCTTTGATCTAATGTAATACAGGAATTAACAGGAATGTGCTGGGTACAAACTAAACTGCAAATGAACCACAATAATTTTCCAATATTAATAGCACACATTCCAGAAAAACAAAACAAACAAACAAAACAAAACAAACCAGAAGCAATATTATTCTGTTCCCTATTAACTAAGGAATGAGCTACAAAATGAAGCAGGTTCTTTTCTGTCTTACAAAGCTCATATCTCTCCATGTCATGGAAACTGGCTTTGCTCTAGAGCAGAGATGGGCATCTATGGCAACTTTACAACCTGTGGACTTCAACTCCCAGAATTCCTGAGCCAGCATAGTTGCCCACCCTTGCCTTAAGAGGCAATTTGAGGGCTGAAGACAACTGTCGTTTCAGACCTTAGGGTTCCAAGCCATTCTTGCATATAAAAGGGATATGTTATCCTTTGCCACATTGCCAACGACATTTTAGAGCGATATTGGCAGACTCTCTTGATCAGATTGAAAAAAAGAAGAATGAAAAGACTGGGGTGGGGTGAGGACTAAGAGGAGCATTCGACTTCTGGTTTTAAGCAGCCATTACAGCACAATGCTCTTTCAGTCAAACCCTGGAGCCATCTTACAGAGGCTGGTCAGAGCAATGAAAACCCTGCTACCATTGTAATAAAGCACAAAGAAGGAAGTCACCAAGTGGCGCTAAAGCAGCTGGTTCTGACAAAAGCAATCACGATAGCAACCTGCAAAAATCAAAAACAAAATAGTTCTTTTCAAGAACTATTTCTGGCTAAGCTATAAAACCCACTTATACCGTATGTTTGTATGCCAAAAGGACAATGCTCACCCAATTTGTTTTCATCTGTAGCTGGCACTGGAAACCTGTCGCTGATTGCAGGGATAGGATGAACATTTATGAAGGAATCGAGATGTCTACCACATTTGTTATGTACCGTAATTTGGTGATATTCTGATGTGTATAATTTTTAGTGGTGAACCCATGTGGAAATCATTGCACTTTAGGCAATCATGTAGCCACATTCTATGGACTGAGTTCTGGAGAAGCAGATTCTTCAAGCTCCCAGAGGGTCTTGTACACCGGAATGGGAGAACATGCCACAGTCAACTCTCTGTGGCCAACTTGTTGTGGCCAACTCGCTGCGGGACAATTTAACAATTCTATTTAATTATTTAAAATAAATAAAAAAATATTTTATTTTTTGCAATTCACATTTCATTCTGTCCCTTCTTTTGCATCATTTCCTTACTCTATTTTAATATTTCTATTAATTATTCTATTCTACTACTTCTTTGATATTAGTGTAATTCTTATCCTGCAGCAAGCTGGCTGTGGCAAATTGTCGTAGACCCCTTGTACACAGCTCACTGGTTGTGTCAGTGTCAGTGTCAAATGTGATGCTGGGCCTCTTGTTGTTCTTATTGCTCTGCTCTTAAAATGCTGGAATTGGGTGGTTTTAAATTTCTTTAATACCCACAATTTGGGACTGTTATGTTTAGTATAAAAATTTAGTATATAAATGAATTCCTCCCCATTCTTCAACATATATATGGACAGGAATGATAGACTAGTTCTTGGGTCATTGTGACATTATACCCAAATAATATTAAAGCTTAATACAAAATAAAAATGCTTAAAAATTAAATATTAAAAATATTTGAAGATTCAAGCATGCAGGGGAGGGATTTGCCCTTCTAGGAACAGAGGTTCTGTAACTGATGCTTATTTCTTTTTTTTAAAGTTCTGTCTGATCTCAGTTAAGTTTAAAAGGATCAGGTGTGATTGATCTTTGCATGGGAAAGCATGAGAGATTGAGAGCTGGAAGTAGAAAAACTTCCAGAAAGTGGCAGTGGAAAACTCTTTATCTACTGTTGGCAAGAAAACTCATGAATGAGTATGCAAAATTTTGGCAAAGTTGCCAAAAAAAAAAAAAAAAAGTGTTTGGTGCGTATGAGGAGACTCAATTTTGGAGCTACCTTTTTGGTAATCATTCCCTTATGAGAAGTTGTGTTAAGAGTCTCAGTTCTGGATATGGGGATTTAAAATAGCAGCAATTATAAAACATGGTTTTCTTTTGGACTAATCCTGTGGTTGTTGAATGTAGGCAGAGAATAAATGAAGAACACATCTTCATAAGGTACATTTGAATAGAAGAGAATAGAATAGAATAGAATAGAATAGAATAGCAGAGTTGGAAGGGACCTTGGACGTCTTCTAGTCCAACCCCCTGCCCAGGCAGGAAACCCTACACCACTTCAGACAAATGGTTATCCAACATCTTCTTAAAAATTTCCAGTGTCGGAGCATTCACAACTTCTGCAGGTAATTGTCCACTTACTAATTGTTCTAATTGACAGGAAATTTCTCCTTAGTTCTAAATTGCTTCTCTCCTTGATTAGTTTCCACCCATTGCTTCTTGTTCTGCCCTCAGGTGCTTTGGAGAATAGTTTGACTCCCTCTTCTTGGTGGAAACCCCTGAGATATTGGAACACTGCTATCATGTCTCCCCAGTCCTTCTCTTCATTAAACTAGACATACCCAGTTCCTGCAACTGTTCCTCCTATGTTTTAGCCTCCAGTCCTCTAATCATCTTTGTTGCTCTTCTCTGCACTCTTTCTAGAGTCTCAACATCTTTTTTACATCGTGGTGACCAAAACTGAATGCAATATTCCAAGTGTGGCCTTACCAAGGCATTATAAAGTGGTATTAACACTTCACGTGATCTTGATTCTATCCCTCTGTTTATGCAGCCCAGAAGTGTGTTGGCTTTTTTGGCAGCTGCTGCACACTGCTGGCTCATATCTAAATGGTTGTCCACTAGGACTCCAAAATCCCTCGCACAGTTACTACTATTGAGCAAGGTACCACATATTGCTTTCTGAAATTAAAGCAAGTTCTATCTTTTATGGCTAGCTTTTGCAGGCCAAACAGGGTCCCCACACATTATACTCTTTCGGAAAGACAAAATCTTCTTCAAGAGAAATCAGCAAGCACTAATGAAGCCTCACCAGATGACCAGTGATCATGAGAAGTAATCCAGTATACAAAAACGTGACCATTGACAACTGTTGCACATTTGGTTTTTGATCTGTGAATTTAAAAGATATCAATCTGTTGGAAAGGTGGACTTTAACCATCTATTACCAAGTTACAACATAAACAACATTCTTTTCAGGGTACATTCAAGTGTATTCACATTGTATAATCGCGTCCATAGATTTTTGAAAATCTTCTCAATTACAAACCTGCCATGGCCTTCTCCCCAGCATAAGATCATCAGATTGAATTTTCCATTTCCTTTATCTATAAGATTCCTTGTGTATCTGAAATGATAAAACATCAGGGAGCCTTTGTAAGTTTTACCCTCGAGAAACAGAAACAATTTTTAAGAAGACATGAAATGGCACAGGCAGGCTGCCATTCTGTTCCAAAAGCACTTTGTGTTAAAGATTATTGAGATATTAAACCTTTTATTCACTAGTTTTGCCTCCTTTTGAATACTGAATTACCTTACAGGCAGATGCTGGACAAGAATCACATTTCAAATGATTTAAACAGTAGGACATAAACTAAAGCATACATTTATTTATTTAGTGGTTTTTAAAATCCCACCTTTATTATTTTTTATAAATAACTCAAAGTGGTGAACGTACCTCATACTCCTTTCTCTTCCTATTTTCTTGCCAACACCAACCTGTAAGGTGGGTTGGGCTGAGGGAGAGTTCCTGGCTCACAGTCACCCAGCCTGCTTTCATGCCTAAAACAGGACTAGAACTCATGGTTTCCTGGTTTCTAGCCTGGTCTCTTCACCATTAGACTATGTGATAAATAGTGGACATCAGCTTTCAAGATTTTTCCCGTCTTCTTTTGAAAACATTACCTTAAGGGTTAGTGAGCTCCAATGAATATGCGAGTCTACTTGTGGAATTTTTCCCTAAGGTGTGTGTGTATGTGGGGGGGACTTTCCTCTTCGGTTCCCCATGCCTGACACTTCACCCTATGCAGATGGATACTTCTGGAACACTGGAGGAACAAAGATAATTATTTTCCACCAGCAGCATTACATTACATGCATTTTTCTCCGCCTCTTTATATTATACTAATATTTTCCAAGATCCCTCTCTCATCTAAAAGGAAGTCCAGAGGGACTAAACAGCATCAAATCATTAAAAAAAAACCATTTATATAGTGCTATAGAATTCAAAACAAACTTAAAAGCTAATTCGCAACCCAATTAATAATGTAACCCAAATACTTCTCAGATTAGATAATTTGCAAATGTTCATAGTCATATTAAGGAAAGTTACTTTTCTGTGTGAGGTATATACCCCAAAGGAAAAGTTATGTAACAAAATATAATGTGTACATACATGCCTGGACACATATGCATGAAGGCAACCAAAGAGAAAGGAAGAGATCTTCCTGATAAAATACCAATTTTATATATAACAAGAGATTATGACAAACAAGATAAGAAGTGTCAAGGGCAGGAGTTACTCAAGAGTCTCTGATTAGGAAGTTCTTTAGTTAGATTCAAGATAACAGAATAGAGCTCGCAGAACAGAAGAAAAAAACTGAACAGAAATTCTCCAAAACATTTGAATTAAGGCTGGTTTTTAAAAAGCTGCAAATAAGGACAGTTTCCTAATGCATTTTCACTAGAAAATACCTCTTTTAAGTATTCACAATTCACATTTATCTATTTTAAATTTATTTATTTATTTATTTAATTTACAAATATTTATATGCCACCCTTCTCCCTAAGAACTCAGGGCGGTGAACACGGTTAAAAAACATACAATAATAAAAAAAGCCCAATTAAAATCAAATTAAAACAGAGACAAATAAATAATAAAACCCAGGAATCAGAAACAACCCATTTGTTGAAACAGCCAAGTCTTTAGGCCTCGACAAAAGGAGCGAAGGTCAAGTGCCGTCCGAAGCTTGGTGGATAATTCCAGAGGGCAGGAGCGCCCACAGAGAACGCTCTACCCCTAGACGTCGCCAGCCGACATTGTCTGGTCAACGGTATCCTGAGGAGGGCAGCCCTGTGAGAGCGGACAGGACGGTCGAAGGCGGGTAGGAGATGGTCCTGCAAATACCCCGGACCAGCACCTTGAAGCGGATCCGGAGGACCACTGGTAACCAGTGCAGCTCGCATAGGAGGGGTGTTACACGGGAGTAACGGGGAGCTCCTGTAACAACCCGCGCGGCCGCATTCTGGACCAGCTGGAGCCTCCGGGTCCATCTCAAGGGCAGCCCCATGTAGAGGGAGTTGCAGTAATCCAAGCGCGAAGTAACCAGGGCATGAGTGACCATGCGAAGGGCATCTTGGTCTAGGAAAATATTATCAGCTGAATGGACATAGTTTTAGTTCAGAGCACTATCCAAACATGGAGCACTTTAGAAAGTATTTGGAGAGAGACTTTTTCCAAAATGAAAAAATTGAAAGAATTGAACTGCAGGAAACTCACTTATGTACAGGCAATGTGTTATCAAAAATACTGCAACCAATATATGATATACAACATAACAAGATGACCCAGCCCTAGAAAATAAAATATGGCTTAACGCTTTTATTACATGACATTGTATTTCACTTATGTAATTAATAATAACATTATAAAACGCAAGTCAATACTTGGGTAATGAGGGGGACTTTTGGTGAGTGGGAATTGGACAGAAGGCAGCATTTATGACCGAAATAGTGGTTGGATGCTATATCTGAATTTGCAAAATCTCTTCAGGGAAAGGAAAGATTGTGAGATAACTCACATGCACTCCAGATGGCTGGTCTTGTTGAGTAGATTGCAGGAACCATGGTTTTGCAGACAGTTTATGAGTTGTTGAGTGGTTGGGAGTCAAAGTAACAGTTAACAGTATAACAGAGTTGGAAGAGACCTTGGAGGTTTTCTAATCCAACCCCCTGCTTAAGCAAGAGATCCTATACCATTCTGGAAAAATGGATGTCTAATCTCTTCTTTAAAATCTCTGAAGGGAAGCTGTTGCATTAGTTAATTGTTCTCACTTTCAGGAAATTTTTCTTTAGTTCTAGGTCAGATCTTTCTTTGATAAATTTCCATCTGTTGCTTCTTGTCCTGCCCTCAGGTGATCTGGAAAATAGGTTGACCCCCCTATAAGCAGTCCCACAAACATTGGAAGACTGGTATCAAGTCAACCCTAGTCCTTCTCTTTGTTAGACTAGACATATCCATCGTGATTCGTGACATGGTCTTTTAAGGACAAAAAGCTTGGCCAAACCTCATTTCTTAACCTTTTTATTCTTTTGGGAAATATTAAGACTCTTTAGGTCAGCATGTTTCTACTGTATTCACTGGGTAAGGTTCCTTCTCCTTAGTAAAAGAAGTTTTAAATAAAATTCTAAGCACTTGGAAAAATATTATTTTTTGGAATACAGGAAATAATGTTTTGAGTGTTTTTAGAAAGTTAAAGAATAAAGAATTTTTTGGAATAAAAATTGGAAATAAATTATAAAATCCTTTCTGTGGGAAACTAGATGTTTACATTCTTTGGGAGGAAAAAAAGTTGGGTTTTTGAAGTCTGGATCCTAGAAGGCATTAGAAGCAAATGATATAATAGATGCATCCAGAAGTAAATGTAAAAAGTGATTCAAAAGATATGCTTAAAGATTTCTGGCATTAATAAAAATCTAAATGGTGCTATAGAAGCACCATAGGTTCTGGACAAGAACAAAATTGATTTAAATGTGAAAATGAAAATGATAGGCTATAAGACAGATATGGAACAAGATTCTGAACAAAACCTGTTGATATTAATTAAGGAGGCTGTGCAGAAAACAGACCATAAGAGTGCATATACAATCTTTATTAAAGAGTACAATACACAAATACATATATAACCTTTTTACATTGGATTTACAACAGAGACTTGTTAATACTTAAAGAGTTGGGTTTTTTTGAGAAAAGACAAAAAAAAAACATGCGTCGGGGGTATTATGGGTATTTGTAGGGACTTAAGATCAAGTTTTTTGGGAGTAAGGGGAAGCAATATAGGGTGGGTTATTTGGCCAAAGTTAAACAGGTAGGTTGTTAATTCTGATGATTTTTAATGATTTTTTTCTGATTAGGACTGCAACATGGTGCTTTAAAGTTTTGCTTTATTCATAAGAAGAAGCATGTTATGGATTTTGTTGGTCAAGGAATTTCAGCTGGCAGGATCCAGGAGAAGAGCCTTTTCTGCTGTGGGAACACTGTGCCTCTCCAGGTGAAATCCTCACACTTACTTGGCCTTCCAAAAGGTCTTGACAACTTGGCTCTGCCAACTGGCCTGGAGCATCAATCTTGGAGATGGTTAATGAGTTAGACCAGGAGTCGGCAACCTTAAACACTCAAAGAGCCATTTGGACCCCTTTCCCACAGAAAAGAAAACATCGGGAGCCACAAAACCCTTCCTGTGCCTGATTATTTCTTGAGCGGCCACAAAACTAGCATATGTAGTTGAATTAAACTTTCTGTTTTCTTCTGAAACTTTTCTTTTCTTGGATTTATCCATGGTTGGCGTATCAGGGTTGAAAAGCTCAATAAATCGTATGCCAACAGATGTCCCACATTGGTGGTTGTGATGCATATTTTGAGTGACAGGGAGTCACAGCAGAGGGGTAAAAGAGCCACATGCGGCCTCAGAGCCGCAAGTTGCTGACCCCCAAGTTAGACAGACCCCATCTCCTCCCTGTGTGTACTGTGCTCCCTCCCCCTCCATCTTGGTCAATTGAATTATAAGAATTTGAAATGTATGGTCTTTATTGTTTTAATGTTTCATATGGTATTTTTATTGAATGTCGGAGCTGTCTAGGCAAGATAGGCAGCATAGAAGTTTAAGAAACAAACAAATAAATAAAATAAGACTTCTATTTTTGACATTTTTTTTCTGATTATATTAATATGATATTTTAGGGTTTTGTGTTAATAATAAACAGTTATGTGGATGAAAGGTTATTTGTTATAACCTTTTGTTATTGGTTATATGTTTTAAATTTTTTTGATTAAATTTAAAATGATTATGTTAACTTTTCTGGTAGCCTTTATTGGTTGTTTACCAAGTATGTTTGAGGGATAAGGTTTTAGAGATTTGTTGAAGAATAGAACAGGACATATGAATGAAAAGAAGGAAATTAAGTGGGTTTATTTGGTTAAGTTTATAATAGGTGGCCATTTCTGGTAACTCTTAATAGACTTTTTGCTGATTAAGGCAGACAACAAGGAGTTTTAGATATGTTTATAGAGAATGAGGTGAGATATGGGATTAAGAGATTGTTGGATTTGAAAAGCTGATGGTAAATTGT